AGCTGGAACTACAGGTGCGCGCTACCACACCCGGATAATTTTTGATTTATTGTAGAGATGAGGTCTCGCCAAGTTGCTCAGGTGGGTCTTGAACCCACGTACCCCACATTTTTCATGCTGCAGAATTCTCTAGAAGAATGTGTTGGAACCAAACAGGGAACTCTCCAGTGGCCATGCTGCAGAAGAGCCCATGGGAAGGAATGAAACGCTCACTGGTGTAGAGAGGTGTCACTCTGTGCACCCATGTTACTGGCATGAAGCCTTGGCGAGAAGCTTCCATAACCATCAGAGGTCATCATGCACCTAACGGTTACTACAGGCAGGCACTGATTGAGTATGAGATTCGACAATTAGGTTTGTGAACCATCCTAGAAAAGGTGCTCCATACCTCACTGCCGAATATCACTACCGTCACCTTTGAAATACTCCCCTTGGGAAGCTGTGCACCGATGCCAGTGCCTAGTCCACTCATCAAAGCAATTTTGGAACTCCTTTTCTGGAATGGCCATCAGAGTTGTCATTCTTGGTTGCGGTCTGACAATTAAGTTCGTAAACTTGCCACCATGCGTTTATGTTGGCAGCACTGCACGGATAACTGTATTGGAACCCCCTCCCTACTCATCTGATCTTGTCCCCGGTGACTTTTTTCTTTACCTGAAGACAAAGGAAATATTGAAAGGAAGACATCTGATGACATTCAGGACATCAAGGATAATACAACGACAGTTCTGATGGCCATTCCAGATAAAGGATTCCAAAATCGCTCTGATGGGTGAACTAGGCGCTGGCATTGGTGCATAGCTTCCCAAGGGGAGTACTTTGAAGGTGGCCGTAGTGATATTCAGCAATGAGATATGGAGCACTTTTTCTAGGATGAGTTTAATTGTTGGATCTTGTGCATCGTTGTCCTGTACATTGAGGCAGGAGACTCAACTTTCAAGAGCACCTTAGCCTAGTTACTGTTCATATCATTCCAAAGGGGGCGGGGGGTGTGAGAGTTTCTGCAAGGGTAACTTCAAGTCTAAACCAACTCTCGTTTGTTTCCACGTTATTATCAGCATGACTGTGGGTTGCATTGTGTCCTCTCAAAAGACAGGTTGAAGTCCCAGGCCCTGGTACCTGTGAATAGGCCTTATTTGGAAATGGGGTCTCCGCAGATGGAATTAGTTGAGATGAGGCCACTCCAGATGAGGGTTATACTGACATGTGATGGAAGCTTGTGAAAGAAACCCCTTGAGTCCCATTTTGCACTTAAATGGCTGTTTGATGTTAGAGTTTCCTCACTTATAAAATAGGCACAATTAAAAACGTGTTCACTTCCTTAATGGGTCTTAATGGGTCTTTCCTAAGACCCAAAGAGATGATGTGTGTGAAAGTAATTCGTAAATTCTTAAGTACTACATAAAGAGGATGTGTTGGCTGGGCTCGGTGGCTCAGTCTATAATCCCAGCACTTTGGGAGGCTGAAGCAAGTGGATTGCCCGAGGCTGTGGGTTCGAGACCAGCCCGGGCAACTTGGCGAGCTCTTGTCTCTACAATAAATAAAAAATTAGCTGGGTGTGGTAGCGCACACCTATGGTTCCGGCTACTTGGAAGGCTGAGGTGGAAGGATTGCTGGAGCCCAGCAGGTTGACGCTGGGGTGGCAGTGAGTGTGCCACTGCACTCCAGCCTGGAAGACGGAGTGAGACTCCAACTCAAAAAAAAAAAAAAGATGTGTTAATATTATTCTAAGCTCTGGCAGCCATTCCAGATCAGTCTCTTAAGCCCTAGGACAGGAGTCCACAAACTATGACCTATAGGCCAAATCTGGCCCAGTGCCTGTTTTTGTGTAGTCTGTGACCTAAGAATGGTTTTTACATTTTTAAGCAGATTTTTTTTAATCAAAAGAAGAATAATATTTTGTGACATGTGAAAGTGAAAAGAAATGGAAATTTCAGTGTCCATGAATGAAGTTTTATTGGGACACAGCCTCACTCCCTCGTTGACCTGCCGTGAGGGCCACAAGAGCTTAGTCAGGAGTCACAACAGAGGCTGCACAGCCCGTCATCACCTAAAATATTTCCCATCTGGCCTTTTAGAAAAAAAAAGTTGCTGAACCCTGCTCTAGAATAAGGGGGCAAGGGACCTCTTTCACGGTGTACAAAATTGCATTTTTTTTTTTGCATTGGAGTCTCACTCTGTCGCCCAGACTGGAGTGCAGTGGCCACTCCCGGCCACCACAGCCTCGACCTGCTGGGCTCCGGCGATCCTTCCGCCTCAGCCTTCCAAGTAGCTGGAACTACAGGTGCGTGCTACCACGCCCGGCTAGTTTTTTTGATTTATTGTAGAAATGAGGCCTCGCCAAGTTACCCTGGTGGGTCTCGAACCCACGGGCTCAGGCAATCCACTCACCTCAGCCTCCCAAAGCGTGGGATTACAGGCTGAGCCACTGAGCCCGGCCAAAAATTGCATTTGATCAAATATCTCTTAGATGAAGCTCTAGACAGCTGACTCACATCCTCATTCCCATCTTAGCCCGATATGGAAGGTAAACATAAAGTTGATTCTGTGACTAATTGACTTTTCTTGGAAAGACATCTGAAAACCCACTGAGAGGAGTTATGGTTCTACATATTGCGAAAGGGACTGGGCTTTGGCTGCAATCCAGAATCCAGAACAACCATCCTCAGCACTTTGGAGGAGCGATAAAGCTCTTATCCTTTATTACAATAACATATGAACGCTATAAAAACTTAGCAACCCTGTAAACCATAAAATGCATTCATACCTAGGGTCCTGATGATCAGATAAAGTTGGTCCACATCTGATTTTCCAGGCCAGAGTGGCTGGCCTGTTAGGAGCTCAGCAAAAACACAACCGATGGCCCATATGTCCACGGAAGAACCATACTGAGTATCTCCCACGAGAAGTTCAGGAGCTCGGTACCATCTCGTTGCAACATAATCAGTGTAGGCATCCCCTGGAACTGCAAATGCATTGGTCAGATCACAGGTGAGCCAGGTTCTTCCAATAGGTGAGCAAGTGAGCTACTCCCCAGAGCAGGTCAGGCATTTGGGCAAGTGTCCATAACCATCAGAGGTCATCATGCTCCTGACATCACTACAGGTAGGCACTCACTAAACACACGGTTGCACTATACATTGAGGTAGGAGACCCAACTTTCAAGAAAACCTTAGCCCAGTTACCATTCATATCATTCCAAAGGGAGTGGGGGAATGAGAATTTCTGTAGGGGTAACTTCAAGTCTAAAACCAACTCTTGTTTGTTTCCACGTTATTATCGTCATGGTGGCTGTTGTGGGTTGAATTGTGTCCCCTCAAAAGATAGGTTGAAGGCCGGGTGCAGTGGCTCACGCCTATAATCCCAGCAATTTGGGAGGCTGAATGAGAGGATTGCCTGAGTCAAGGGGTTCAAGACCAGCCTGGGCAACTTAGTGAGACTTCATCTCTACAATAAATCAAAAAATTAGCCGGGTGTAGTGGCATGTGCCTGTAGTCCCAGCTACTTGGGAGGCTGAGGTGGAAGGATTGCCTGAGCCCAGTGGGTGGAGGCTGCAGTGGCTGTGAGCATGCCACTGCACTCCCGTCTGGGCAACAGAGTAAGACTCTGACTCAAAAAAAAAAAAAAAAGATGTGTTGAAATCCCAAGTCCTGGTACCTGTGAATATGGCCTTATTTGGAAATAGGGTCTTTGCAGATGGAATTGGTTAAGATGAGGTCATACCAGATGAGGGCACCCTAATCTAGTATGACCCCTAAATCCAATGACTGGTGTCCTTCCAGGAAGATCACACGGGGGCACAGAGAGAGACAGCCACATGATGGAGACAGAGACTGGAGTGACGCAGCTTCAAACCCACACTGCCCCTCAACCGTCAGTAACAGGGAGGAAAACAGGGAAGGAGCCATCTGAGAGACTTCTCAGGAGCACGGCCCTGCTGAAACGTTGATTTCAGATGTCTGGCTTTCAGAACTGAGAGAATAGGTTTCTGTTGTTTTACCTGGACGGAATTGGAGACCGTCATCCTAAGTGAAGCGACGCAGTAACTTAAAACCAGACACTGCATGTTCTCGCTTACAAGTGGGAGCTAACTTATGGATCTGCAAAGGCATAGGGAATGACAAAATGGACACTGGAGACTCAGAAAGGCGAGAGTGGGAAGGGGGAAGGGATGAAAAGTCACCTGTCGGGGACAATGTGCACAGGTTGGGATGATGAGTACACTTAAAACCCAGACTTCAGCCGGGCTTGGTGGCTCAGCCTGTAATCCCGCGCCTTTGGGAGGCTGAGGTGAGTGGATTGCCTGAGCCCGCGGGTTCGAGACCCGCCTGGGCAGCGAGACCTCATCTCTACAATAAATCAAAAAATCAGCCGGGCGTGGTAGCGCATGCCTGTAATTCCGGCTACTTGGAAGGCTGAGGCGGAAGGATCGCCGGAGCCCAGCAGGTCGAGGCTGCGGTGGCCGGGAGCGGCCACTGCACTCCAGTCTGGGAGACAGAGTGAGACTCCAACTCAAAAAACAAAAAAACAAAAAAACCCAGACTTCTTCACCACTATACAATGCATCCGTGTAAACAAAGACCACTTATACCCCTAAAGCTATTGAAATAAAAAAAAAATTCTGTTGTTTTAAGCCACACAGATTGTGGTCATGTATGCAGCCCTAGGAAATGGATACAGTGCTGGACAATTGCATAAAACTCATTCTTCTGTCCAGATTTGTTACTTAGGACCCAGTGGGACAAAGACCTCGATTTGCCTCCTTGTATTAGGAGTCATGTGTGGTGTGTGACAGGCAGATGACAAAGAGCTGGGTGCCCAGCCCTGCATTGCCACCACAGGCGTGGACTGCCTGAGACCAAGGTGTCTGTCTCCCAAGTGGGTGGAGGCTAAGCCCACAATTACCACATGACTCTGAAGGACCAGGAACCCTACATGGGCGTGACAGAAGAGGAAGGACTGGAAACCAGTCCCACTTATAGAGATGAGGTGATGGGCCATTCTCCCTAGTAAAGGCTTTAGACAGTCCGTGTGACTCTGCCCCCAAAGACTGCTCAGAAAATAGTGGCTGTAGCTCTCAGCAAAGAACAGTTTTCATAGGAGTGAGAGAAAGAAGTGAACTTTACTTATTCATTGCTCTTTTATAGAATTATATCAACTTTATTTATTTTTTTAGAGGTGGGGGTCTTGCTATGTTGCCCCAGTTGGACTTGATCTCCCAGGCTCAAAGGATCCTCCTGCTTTAGTCTCCTATCCTGAGAACCTGGGATTACAAGTGCATACCACCACGCCTGGCTTTATATAAATTTTTATTATTTTTTATTTCTATTTTTGGAGTTGGGGGGTCTCACTCTGTTGCCCTGACTGGCGTGCAGTGAGTAGCAGCCTCGATCTGCTGGGTTCAGGCAATCCTTCTGCCTCAGCATCCAGAGTAGCTAGCTCTATAGGCACACATCACCATTGCTGGCTAATCAAAAAAAATTTTTTTGTAGAGACAAGGTCTTGCTGTTTTGCTTGGGCTGGTCTCAAACTCCTAGGCTCAAGCAATCCTCTTGCCTTGGCCTCCCAAAGTGCTGGGATTACAGGAATGAGCCATTGTGCCTGGCCTAAACTTTTAAATGATAAAAATTAACAATACTATATGGGAAATTTGGAAAATGGAGAATAAGAAATAAAATGAAAACCACTGACTATTCTCAGTATCACAGATTGTTAGTTGTTTTACTTGATTGGAAAAATTTTCTACAAAAAAGTCATATGTGCTCACTACAGAGAATATGAAAAAATATAATAAGCAGAAAGAAGAAACACGAACCCAAGATTTACTCACCCAATGATACACTGCGTTAATCTTTGATTGTATTTCATTTGGGTATTGTTTTTTGACAGCATCATTTTTCACATACTTTTTGATCATACCATTTGTTTATTTTTGTGTCCTGGTTTTTTCATTTAGCTCTACACATATGGCAGGTTATCATAAAACTTGAGTTTAATGGTTGCACAGCAGTTTACTGAGTGCTTATGCCATGATTTACTTTAACTTTCCAAATTTTCCAATATTTTTCCATTATAAATCTCTGCACACACCGGGCATGGAGTCTCACACCTGTGATCCCAGCACTATGGGAAGCGGAGGCGAGAGGATTGCCTGAGCCCAAGGGTTTGAGACCAGCCTAGGCAACTCAGGGAGATCTCATCTTTACAGTAAATCAAACAAATTAGCCGGGTGTGGTGGTGCATGCCTGTAGTTCCAGTTACTTGGAAGGCTGAGGCTGCGGTGACCATGAGTGTGCCACTGCACTCCAGCCTGGGAGACAGAGTGAGACTCTGACTCAAAAAAAAAAAAAAAAGAAAAGAAAAGAAAGAAAAAGAAAAAGAAGTGCAAATCAGGCTGCGGTGAGCCATGGTGCCACTTCACACCAGTCTGGGTGACAGAGTGAGACTCCGACTCAAAGAAAAAAAAATCTCTGCACAAAGTCTTTTCTTTATTTAGGACTCTTTCTTTAGAATGAATTTCTATAAGTGGAATGATTAGGCTGAGAGATATGAACATCATTTATGAAGTAATTAGCGTTCTCTGTAGAAAACTTAGAACATACAAAAAAGCATAAAGAAGAAAACAAAAATCATCCGCCACCCAGAGGAAAGCCATGTTGCCCTGTGGTTTATTTCTCTTTATTCCTGTCTTTTCTTACTATTGCACACACCCAGCACTCATGGAATCGGGGCTGGCTGTGCATGCGGTTTTGTGTTCTTTTTTGACTTCACCCACATTGGGAGTTGCAGCGTTTTTCTCATGTCACTAAAATTCTTTAATGTATGATGTTAGATCAGACATATTCCTTAGCCATTTCCTTATGTCTGAATGGTTAGCTTCCTCTGGATTTTTTTCTCAGTAGTGAATGGTTCTACAATGAACATTATGTTGTCTTCTTTTGGGGGGTAGTAACTTGGGTTATGAGAGTCCTAAAAGTGGAATTAAAGGCTCAAAGGACACTTATTTATTCATTTATTTTTTGAGTCAGAGTCTCACTCTGTTGCCTAGGCTGGAGTGCGGTGGTATGCTCGTGGCGAGCGCAGCCTTGACCTGCTGGGCTCAAGTGATTCTTCTGCCTCAGCCTTCCAAATAGCTGGAACCACAGGTGTGAGCCACCACATCCGGCTCATTTTTGAATTTATTGTTGAGATGAGGTCTCGCCAAGTTGCCCAGGCTGGTCTGGAAGCCCCGGGTTCAGGCAATCCTCTCACCTCCGCCTCCCAAAGTGCTGGGATTACAGGCATGAGCCAGCGCACCCAGCCTCAAAGGGCACTTTAAAAATATCTCCATAAATATTAATAAACTGTTTTCTCAAGGATTTGTTTCAAACTGTGTTCACACTGAAAACGGTCTTGTGAGCCCTGAGTAGTTATTGCTTGAAAAGCCTTTGCCAGCTTCATGGGTGAAGCGGAATGTTTTATTTTTTACTATATTTGTGACCCATCACCCTAGGTAACAGTGTGCAACATGTGAGCCTCACATGTAACATATGTTCTCAAACCCAACTTCTTACACTAGACACTGCACTGAAGCTGAACATTTTAATATACATTTCTCTGATATCAATGAGGAAGAAGATTATTCCATGTTTTTAGCCTTTTCTTTCTTCTGTGAACTATCATTATCTTACTAATATTTCCACTCAGAGCTTTTAGTGTTTTTTTGCATCCATTTTTATAAGCTCTTTTATCTCAACCTATGAATGATCAATTTTTCAATATTCTCTCCTTGGTTATTTATTTAAACATTTTTATTATCTGTGTGTGCATGTATATATCTATATAGCACAGGAGCTTAAACTTGCTTTGTGTTAAAATATACATCTTATATTTACCGTTTTTTCTTTTATTATTTATTTATCTTGAGATGTGGTCTCATTATGTTGCCCAGGCTGGTCTCAAACTCCTGGGCTCAAGCTATCTTCCCTTCTCAACCTCCCAAAGTGCTATGATTACAGGCGTGAGCCACCGCGCCCAGCTAAAATTTACCATTTTAACCACTAAGTGGCATCAATTGCATTCATGATGCTATGCAAGCATCACCACTATCTACCCTCCCGAACTTTTTCATCATTCCAACCTGTGACTCTGTACCCATTAAACAATAACTCCCGGTGCCCCTTCCCCCAGCCCCTAATAACCACTATACTTTTTTCTGTCTCCTTGACTTTGACTGTTCTAGGTGGCTCGTGTGAATAGAATCATATGATATCTGTGCTTCCGTGTCAGGCCTATTGCACTTAGCATCATGTTTTCAAGGTGTTTCTGTGTTGCAGCATTTCATGCCTTTTTAAGACTTACTAATATTCCACTATATGTATATACCACATTTTGTTTACCCACACATCCCTGATGGACACCTGGGTTTTCTCCACCTTCTGGTTATTATGAATACTGCTATGAACATGGGTATATGAATATCTTCAAGTCTCTGCTTTCAATTTTTGGAGGTGTATCCCTAGAGGTGGAATTGCTGGATCATACAGTGACTGTTTAATTTTTTTAAGAACTGTCATACTGTTTTCCAGAGAAGCTGCACCTGCAATGCACGAGGGCTTCGATTTCTTGAAGAACTGTCATAGTTTTCCAGAGAAGCTGCACCTGCAATGCATGAGGGCTCCGATTTCTTCGTACCCTCACCGACACTTGGTATTTTGTTTTGTGGTTATTAAAAAAATTTTTTGGATGTGCATGGTGGCTCAAGCCTATAATCCCAGCTCTTTGGGAGGCTGAGGGGAGAGGAATGCCTGAGCCTGTGGGTTTCGGACCAGCCTGGGCAAAATGGTGAGACCTCGTTGCTACAATAAATCGAAAATTAGCTGGGTGTGGTAGCGTGCACCTGTAGTTCCAGCTACTTGGAAGGCTGAGGTGGAAGGATCGCCAGAGCCCAGTAGGTCAACACTGGGGTGGCCATGAACATGCCACTGCACTCCAGTCTGGGTGACCAAGTGAGACTCCAACTAAAATTAAAAAAAAAAATTTTTTTCTGAGTCAGGGCCTCACTCTGTCTCCCAGGCTGGAGTGCAGTGACATGATCACAGCTCTCCACAACCTCGACCTCAAGGGCTCAGGTGATCCTCTCAACTCAGCCTCTTGGTAGCTGGAATTACATATGTGTTACCATGTCCAGTTAATTTTTTGATTTTTTTTGTAGAGATCAGATCTCACTATGCTCCCCAGGCTGGTCTCGAACCCCTGGGCTCAAGCAATTCTCCTGCCTCAGCCTCCCAAAGTGCTGGGATTACAGGTATGAGCCACCGTGCCTGGTCTCAATTTTTTATAACAGCCATCCTAACGGGGGTGAAATGGTATCTCGCTGTAGTTTTGATTTGCATTTCCCTAATGATGACCTGAGCACCTGTTCATGTGCTTATCGATCATTTGTATATTTTCTTTGACGAAATGTCTATTCAAATATAGTAAAAATAAAAAATGCTTGTTCTTTGCCCATTTTAAAAATAGTTCTCATTATTGTTGAGTTATAGAAGTTTTCTATGCATTCTGGATATTAATTCCTTATCAGATATAAATTTGCCTTTTATTTTATTTATCATGTCCTTTGATGCACAATAGTTTTTAATCTTGAAGTCCAATTTATCTAGTTTTTGTTTTGTTGCTTGTGCTTTGAGTATCACATCCAAGAAATCACTGCCAAATCCAGTATCATGAAACTTTTCTTCTATATTTTCTTCTAAGAGTTTTATACTAAAAAAAAAAAGAGTTTTATAGATTTACCTCTTACATCTAGGTCGGTGAATTATTTTGAGCGAATTTTTTTTTTCAGTTGGAGTCTTGCTCTGTCACCCAGACAGAAGTGCAGAGGCATGCTCACGGTCACCACAACTTCGACCTGCTGGACCCAGGCGGCCCTTCTGCCTCAGTCTTCCAAGTAGCTGGGACTTCAGGCCTACACCACCATGCCTGGCTAATTTTTTTATTTATTGTGAGACAAGGTCTTGCCGTGTTGCTCAGGCTGGTCTTGAACCCCTAGGTCCAGGCAAATCCTCTCGACTCTGTCTCCTGAAGTGCTGGGATTACAGGCATGCTCCACCACGCCCAGCCTTGAGTTAATTTTTGTACCTGGTATAAGGTAAAGGTCCAACTTATTCTTTTGCACATGGTTATCCAGTAGGAGCTTACATTTTTATGTGTTTAAGTCTATTGAGCCAATATTATCATTTTAGCGCATAACGGGAGCCCTCTTTTGTCTTTCTCCTTATAAATGGCCAACGCCTGACCCCAGCAATGACCCAACCCAAGACCTATCAGGCTTGAGCTCACCAGTGCCTGAGCTCACCTCTTGTGGAGGGTTTACACAGCATTAACAAGTTGGCCATGTCTTCTACAACTGCTTTGTTTATAACAATATGGAAGAAGTGCTGGGTGTGGTGTCTCACGCCTTTAATCCCAACACTTCTGGAAACTGAGGCAGAAGCATTCGAGCCCAGGAATTTGAGACCAGCCTGGGCAACATAGCAAGACCTTATCTCTACAAAAAAAGCAATAATAATAATAATAATAATATATAAAAATATAGGCTGAATTCGGTGGCTCAGTCTGCCATCTGTCCCAGCTCTTTGGGAGGCTGAGGCGAGTGGATTGCCTAAGTCCACGGGTTCAAGACCAGCCTGGGCAACTTGGCGAGACCTTGTTTCTACAATAAATCAAAAAAAATTAGCCAGGCATGGTAGTGCGCACCTGTAATTCCAGCTACTTGGAAGGTTGAGGCAGAAGGATCTTCAGAGTCCAGCTGGTTGAGGCTGCAGTGGCCGTGAGTGTGCCACTGCACTCCAACTTGTGCATCAGAGTGAGATTCTGACTCAATAATAATAATAATAATATCATTATTGAAATTGCTGTGGTTGGTTCAGTGCTCAGGGACTCTTGGACATGTTCATGCAGTCAAAATTTCTCAGACAGATGACCTTAATATTGAACTCAGTTCTAAGGTTTTTCATGCAGAGAAGAATGACTATGTTTGCTATAGAAAACTCAGCAGGAAAGCAAGAATGGATATTCATGAAAAAAATCAGATATTTTATATTTTTAGAAGAATTGTCAGTTTAAGAAGCCTTCCCAACCCATAAAGAAAAATCCCTGGAAGGAACACTTATGAAGTATCTTTTACATGAAATGTTTCATTTATTTTTTTTAATGTTCATAGTGGCATATATGTGTAGGTTTTTTCATTTATTTTTGTGACCAAATTGGGCGTTTCTGTAGTATATAATGGACTTTTCAGAAAAAAAGAAAACAACCAAATCTATGACACTGTGTCTGTACGAAGTATTGGATAACAATTATCCTCTTAATTTCCTAAGTTGAGAGTCATATGGATTCTAGTAATTTTTTTCTAGTGCTTCCTCTATAGTTGAGAACTTACCGTATAATGCAGTTTTCCCTTTTCACTGACCACATCTTAAATATTTTCTGATGTTCCTGTAAACCTCAGTGCTGATGGCTGCCTGGCATCTCTTGAATTGGATGACACTACGTGCAGTGTTCAAGGCCCAATAGTCTTCCGCGTTTGTCTGTTTCCTTTCCAGCCCCGAGGTTCAGGGACCGGTGATCGATCGTGAGGATCCTATTCTCTCACACAAAGCACAGCAGCCTCAGATAGCAAAGCTTTGTCAGTGTTTGTTTTGCCCAACCCTTCCAAATGCGTTACCAAGTCACTCGTGTTTGGGTCCCATTGGGATCCTCACATGTCCACACCCAGATAGCAAGATGTGTGTTACTAACATGTGTGTTTGTCTGCTGTAAAGTTCTAGATTGAGGGAGAAACAATGACGTGTCCTCCTTCCCCTTCAGCTCCTCCATGTGGGATGATTTCCTTTTCTTAGCACTGTCTCGGAATCCTTTCTCTTTAATTCTCAATTTACTCTCTAGTTTTTTTCAACCACTTTCACCCACGTTAATGTCTCCCTCCAGGGAGGCATCTACCCCTTCCCTGTATACTTTATGGCCATCATCTTGTATTATTCCTTGTTTCTTTCACTTTGAATTGTAAGTAAATAAAGAGCAGAAATGCTCTTCTAATTCCTGTCCTCCCATACCGTGCAAAGCACATAAATGTGATGTCAAATTCTAACAGAATGCAGCAGAGTGGAAGTGCAAACGAATGTGCGGACTAAAAGGCCAAAGAGAGTTCTCGTTTGGAGTAACAGCAGTGCCACATTTAGCATATCGTCAATATCCAAAGTAAGAATGGAGACCACTGCATTTTATAATCATCTGAGTCAGATAAAGTTAGTAAAAAATTGCTACTTACTCAGAATTCGTGCAAACCCAAAGTCACAGATCTTGACTATTCCTTGCTTAGTTATTAGGATATTTTCAGGCTTTACATCCCTGTGAATACACTGTAAGATCATATTTGATTATTTTTCTGTCATCAAAATGACAAAGAATAAATATTCAATACTAGTTTAAATGACAGAAAACAGCCTGTGAGATAAAAACAAATATGGATTTTCTTCATTTTTCTAAAGGAACTCAAATTAGTAATTTTCCACTTGTAGATCTTGTCATACCAAGGCAAGAGAAATTTATATCAAAATATTGCTACATTATTGAAAAAAATTAAGATTATAATTGTTGTAGATAAAAACCATTCCTGATTTTTTAACTTTTTTGAGTCAGGGTCTCAGGGTCTTACTCTGTTGCCCAGCCCAGAGTGCAGTGGCATGATCACGGCTCATCAAAGCTTCAACCTCCTGGACTCAGGTAATCCTTCTGCCTTAGCATCTCAAGTAGCCGGAACTACAGGTGCATGTGACACCACACCCGGCTAATTTTTAAAATGTTTTCGCAGAGATGAGGTCTTGCTATGTTGCCCAGGCTGGTCTCAAATGCCTGGGCTTAAGCATTCCTTCTGCCTTGGCCTCCCAAAATGCTGGGATTATTGGCGTGAGCCACCATGCCGGGCCCATGTCTGATATTTTTTAAAAGAAGGGTGTATCATACAATGATCTCTTTCACTTTTTACTGTGCCCTATTTAAACTGTAAGAGGTAAAACCCTAAATGAGATTAGACTCAGTGTACCTCCAGTAAGAACCACTGCCACTCAAAATGCATCATTCAGGTTAAAGTTGTGGATTTGAGAAATTGGAGAAACATTGAAATGATAACAAAAACCCAAATTCACTTATAATGAGAAGGACCACATGACTTCTCACCCAAATCAGAACACTTTCAGGGGTGAAAGGGAGCCCTGTTAAGTCATGCTGGGACAGGAGGCACCAACCAGTACTGTCCTGGGGACGCAGGGACACCGAGTCACCTACTTCTCAGAGATTCCGCATCAGGGAAGGAGGATCCCTGTGACCTCCTCACTAGGGACCTGACCCCCAATGGTGAGCAGCCCTCCTGAGCTGCCCACATGTCACTTTCAAGTCCCTCCTGCAAGGCCAGGGCTCCGCACTCAGGCACTCTGGCCTCAGAGAAGCGCCCGCTGTTCCTTCCTACTAGTGGCCTTTCAACCTGCGGCCTCATGGTGATGACCTGAACGAGGCACTCGCTCCTCACTGCACATCAGAGGGCCAGGTGGACCTGGGGAAGGCAGGTTGAGGAAGTCACCCATGGTCCCTCCAAAAATGGTCTCCCTGTTGTGGAGCTGCTGTGAGAAGACCGCTCAGGCCCGGCTCTTCGGAATTTGATCTTCTCCGCAAGAAGATGGAGAGAAGGGATATTGATTGTCTGCAGGGACCCGCACATCCTCGCAGTGATCCTGTGATTGCAGGTTTCATCCTCACAGTTTCATCCTCGCAGTGATCCTGTGATTGCAGGTGGTCACTGACGGAGTCTACAGATTAAGTGTCACCATAATCAACTCCTCCTGCCTCCTTTCTTGGCCATGCTGTCAGTCCCTCTGAATATTGCCATCAAATGGATAGTTCTGAAATTGTTTTCTTTGTTTCTAGAATAGCTATCTAGGAAGAGGAGGAGCTGAACTCTACATTCATTTTAGGTCACAAAAATGACACTGGTAACAGAAGTCTGTTTCTGTTTAGTCTCAATAAATGTCCACTGTTTCATGATTTTTTTTCTTATTCAATACCTTTGGTATGTTTCATAACTTGTAGGAAGTGCAGCTAGGAAAAAGTTTTTAGGCTTCTTAAAAGTCCTAAGCCCAGGGCACATAACACTAATCAGGGTACCTGATCTCAAACCAGGCAAAGTGGGGACCAAAGGGAGGCTCCAACTTTACCTGTATGATGACTACTTGCATACCTAACCCTGAATTGTACCCCATGTCCTTAAAAAAAAAGGAAAAAAAAAGAAAATGAAAAAACAAAGTCCTAAGGCCTTAGATTCTTTTTTTTTTTAAGAGACAGGCTCTCTGTCACCTAGGCTGGAGTGCTGTGGCATGATCATAGCTCATTGCAGCCTTGATTTCTTGGGCTCAAGTGATCCTCCTGCCTGAGTCTCCTGAGTAGCTGAGACTATGTACAGGCATACACAGCCAGTTCTTTTCTTTTCTTTTCATTTAACTTTTTGTAGAGAAGAGTTCTTGCTATGTTGTCTAGGCTGGTCTTGAACTTCTAATTTCAAATGACCTTCCTGCTTCAGCCTCCCAAAGTGCTGGGATTATAGGCATTAGCCACTACACCCGGCCAGCCTTAGATACTAATTTTAAAGAACACATGACTAGAATATAGACCAAAATAGTTTTAATAATCTACCTTTTAAGCAACACATTTATGAAACTTAGACTAACACTCTGAGTCAATAACACTCGCTTATAATAGCTGGTGACTTCATTAGAACAGATGATGTTCCTCAAATGAGTTTCCATTAAATTCTAAAATTTCTAGACTATGTATGGCATTACAAAGTAAATGAATTGCAGTGATATTTGTCTGTTGGCCTACTTAAATGTTTTCTTGGATCTAATGCAAATTCACGTGAAATTTATAGTGCTTATTTTTCAACCAAAATATATAAAGACCAATGAAATATTGGGATGGGTACAGTAAGAGAAGCTACCACTACAGGTTGTTGAAGAAAGAAAAAAGGGAATAAAAATAATTAGAATGACGAGACACAGAATGGGGAAAGGAAGACACTTGGATAGCATGCACTTTCTCCACTGTAAAGCCATGCTCAAGCAAACTCCCTGCATGCCTCTTCAATCAGATTATTATTATTATTATTATTTGAGTCAGAGTCTCACTCTGTCGCCCAGGCTGGAGTGCAGTTGCACACTAACGGCCACCCTAGCATCGACCTGCTGGGCTCAGGAGATCCTTCCGCCTCAGTCTCCCAAGTAGCCAGACCTATAGGAGAGCACTACCATGCCCGGCTAATTTTTTGATATATTGTAGAGACGAGGTCTCACCAAGTTGCCGGCTGGTCTCAAACTTCTGTGCTCAGGCAATCCTCTCACCTCGGCCTCCCAAAGTGCTGGTATTACAGGCTTGAGCCACCGCACCCATCCTATTGTTTTTATTTTTTAAACCAAACAACAAGAAACATGCAAGTCCTTGTAACAGACACATTTTAATAAACTTGGGCTTTATACACAGTTTTTAGCAAACATGGCTAAAACTGGGTTGGGTTATCATGGCTGACGTATAATCTCGTTTTTATTGGCTCACAAGGTAGTAAGAAGAGGTGTCCAGGGTATTTTCAACCTGACCTTCAACTTTAAGAATCATTTCTGGAAACCTGCACATCGGAAATTGCTCCTTAGATGGCCTGATTGAACAGTCATAGTTTTCTATGATCTGAGAAGTTTGTTCTCTTTGATTGTTTGAATGTCTAGGCATGGACATTCTTACTTTAATTAGAGTGAAAACAGACCCCCTCCTTGACAACCAAACATGACTATCAACAAGATGCTGATGGATGCTGCCGCCTGAACATTCATATCTCAGAAATCACTGCAGTTCTACCATTTTGCGATGAAGCTATTTTTCTCTAATCAATACATCAAATACATAAAAATCTGTGGATTCACGATGACATTATATGGGTCATGTTGGTTACCTCACTCTAGCAATATCCTAGGGTAAAACAGAACAAAGTGAGTAGGTATTTTCTTAAGTCCAGTGTGTCTCAAAATTTAATGGGCACGCGGGTCACCTGGAGCTCTTGTTAAATGCAAATTCTGATTCAGGCAATCAGGAATGGCCTGAGATCGTGCATTTCTCGCAAGCCCCGAGGTGATCTTTGTGACTCCCACTTAATCCCTTGCTACTCCAGTCTTCACTGTCTGGCTTAGGTCATCACTCTGGAGAGAACAAAGTGCACCTGGTCTCCATGGGTTGAAAGCTGTATGTTTTCAGCAACACTACTGGGTCAGGCTGCCTTTTCTATGCTTTAAGAGTACTGTGAGAGTTCCTTTAAAAATCAGGAAAGTGTACAATGTTTAGATGTATTATAGTAACTGCTTATAAATGATTTTGGCTTTTTCCTTTGCATGCATTTCAATTATAGATAAAATAAAAAGATAGATATGCAAAGGCTTACCATAGCATAAGAAAATGAGATCACCAGAGTTCAGAAGGATTTTCCCTCTTGGAGGAGAGAAGTTTGTCTGAAACATTATCCATTTGGTCTTTTTTTTTTTTTTTTTTTGAGTTGGCGTCTCACTCTGTCGCCCAGACTGGAGTGCAGTGGCACATTCCCGGCCACTGCAGCCTCGCCTGCTGGGCTCCAGTGATCCTTCCGCCTCAGTCTTCCAAGTAGCCGGAATTACAGGCGCGTGCTACCACGCCTGGCCAATTTTTTGATTTTATTGTAGAGATGAGGTCTTGCCAAGTTGCCCAGGCGGGTCTCGAACCCGCAGGCTCAGGCAATCCACTCACCTCAGCCTCCCAAAGCGAGGGATTACAGGCTGAGCCACCGAGGCCAGCACATTATCTATTTTGAATAGAGGTCATAGGTTATCAGTGGGAAGTTTTTAGTATTTTAAAGCTTAAGGTATAGAATGTGTTGTTCCAAGCAGAGAAATGATGGCAGTTACATTGAGCTACAGAGTCTGGGTTGGCTGGAAAGAGTAACTGACTGATCCATCCATCCATCCAGTTATTCAATAAATATTTATTGATTACCTCTTATAGAAAAAGACCCAGCTAGGTGTGGTGGCTCATACCTGTAATCCCACCACCTTGGAAGGCCAAGGTGGGAGAAATGCTTGAGTCCAGGAGTTTCAGACCAACCTAGGCAACATAGCGAGATCTCATCACTACCAAAAAAAAAAAAAGCCAGGTGTGGTGGTGCATGCCTATAGTCCCAGCAACTCAGGAGGCTGAGGTGGAAGGATTGCCTGATTCCACGAGGACAAAGGCTGTGGTGAGGTGTGATCATGCCACTGTACTCTACCCTGGGTGACAGAGCGAGACTCTGACTCAAAAAAAAAAAATCCAATCTAGCCTTAAAGAGTTACGAAATGAAGTAGCCACAGACATTGCATTAAAGCTGATAACCTGGTACACAGGAAAGTGTCTGGTTACACAGGGATAAAGAACAAACACTTATGGTAAGCAGCATTTTTAGAAAACCATTTGGCCAGGCGTGGTGGCTCACGCCTGTAATCTCAGCACTTTGGGAGGCGGAGGAGAGAAGATTGCCTGAGTCCAAGGGTTCAAGACCAGCTTGGGCAATGTGGTGAGACCTCATCTATATAATAAATTACAAAAACTAGCTGGGCGTGGTGGTGTGCATCTGTGATTCCAGCTACTTGGAAGGCTGAGGCGGAAGGATGGCCTAAGCCCAGCAGGTCGAAGCTGCGGTGGCCGTGAGTGTGCCACTGAGTTCCAGCCTGGGTGACAAAGAGTGAGATTCCAACTCAAAAAAAAAGAAAACCATTTAACTACCCATACACTTTGATGCTACCTGTAGCATCAAAACAGCAGAGATATGGATTCAATCTGGCATCATCTTTATTAAGTACTTGAAAGCACAATTTGCATCATGAAAAACAGGTTTATGTATTCTGTGAAGATCCCTCTACATTAATAGAAGACAAAAGCTTTTGACTTCATCGAATACAAACTTCACTGACTTTCTGACCTCATCTCTACAGTAAATCAAAAATCAGCCGGGCGTGGTACAGCGCGCCTGTAGTTCCAGCTACTTGGAAGGCTGAGGCAGAAGGATCGCTGGAACCCAGCAGGTCGAGGCTGCAGTGGCCAGGAGCGGCCACTGCACTCCAGTCTGGGCGACAGAGTGAGACTCCGACTCAAAAAAAAAAAAACTAAAAGAAAACTTCCCCCAAGTACTGAAATTTATTTCCGCGATCTTGTACTCTTTTTCATCAATCCTAGACTACGATGGTAGACATTCTTCTGGCATCAACACTGACCAGATGGTGCTCTGTATCTCTGCTTCAGTGCTGTCTCTGTCTAGGCACCAACTCAAAAGGTCTAGAAAAAAATTTTTTTTCAAGCTGTCATTATAGCAGAAGAGTCCAGGAGCCAGCTTGAAGAAGCTCTCATTGGCCTAAGAAGGGACGACTGACACATCAGAGAGAAAGATGACTGCAAAGGTTTGAACACTTTGCCCATTCACCCTCCAGGACACCTGTCATGTTCACTCTTGAAGGCTGCTGAGACACCAACTCCTCACTCTGAGTATTGACAAATAAAGAAATCATCACATATTTCTCTTACTGTATTTTACAGTCACCAGAGTCCATGACGGTACTTTCTTTTCCATATATTTCCAATGGATAAGAGCAGAAGGAATTATAGCATTAGAAAATGACTATATTTTGCTATAATTAAATACTAGATATAGGCAATAAGTCACCACAGGATGCTAAAATCAACAGGGGGGGACAAAAAGGTTGACAGGGAAACTGATAATAGATTAGACTAATATCTCCTGAGGCTAATGTCAACACTATCAAAAAGTGGAATAAACTTACATGCTTCATGATGTTGGGGCAGTAAGAAGTACACAGCACCACAGATGAGATATTCTTTTTTTTTTTTTTTTAGTTGGGGTATCAGTCTATTGCCCAGGCAAGAGAACAGAAGCATGATCATGGCTCACTGCAGCCTCAACCTACCGGGCTTAGGTGATCCTCTCACCTTCAGCATCCTAAGTAGCTGGGACTACAGGTGCATGCCACCATACCTGACTAATTTTTTGATTTTTTTTTTTTGTAGAGGCAAGGTCTTAGTATGTTGCCCTGACCTGGAACTCCTGGGCTCTAGTAATCCTCCTGCCTTAACCTCCCAATGTGTTGGGATTACAGGTGTGAACCACCATACCCAGTCTGAGGTATTCTTACCTAAAAATAAAAACAAAAAAAATTTTAAAAAGAACCTGAATATGGTCAAGCCTCTCTATATAAATTCTGTTGTACAGGAAATACAGGTGAAAGAACAAGTTAAATTATACACAGAAAGCAATCAGCCATAATTATCCATAGCATAGTCATATTCAAAGTGTGGTTCTTGAGTCAGTGGCTTCAGTATCATCTGGGGAAATGTTAAGAATACAAATTATTGGGTCCTGCTCCAGAACTAAAAGCTCTCAAGGTGGGCCCACCAAGCTGTGCTTTAGTGAGTCCTCCATGTATTTTCTGATGTATGCTCAGGTTTAAGAACTATGTCTCTAAAAACTTAATGGCTGCCTGTAATACCAGCTACTTTGGGTGCTGAGGCAGGAGGATGGCTTCAGCCCAGAAGTTCAAGGCTGAAGTGAGCTGTGATCTCACCACTGCACTCCAGCCTGGGGGACAAGTGGAACCCTGCCTCTCAAAAATGTTGATTGTTACAGAAACTGGAAAGAGATCATGAATGACACATAATTTTTCCTCATCTTCTGGACTTTCTTTTGTTTTGTCTGCCGCTCACTTTCTGTCTTAGCTCTCCAGGTACACCTCTGAGTTATTAGAAGAAAAGCGTCATCATGAAGAAACTAAAAAGTACATTAAAAAGTGCTACTTACGTTATGTGTATGACAGAAATTAAGAGCTTGAAGTGTTTGCCATAATACACTTTTAATCACTCCGTCAGCAACTCTGAGGGAAAAAATAAACAAGAAAATGAAACTTCTAGGATGGATTCCAGAGCAAGGACTAGGGACAGAGGGAGAATGGTGGGGCCTTGACGTGGCCAATAAACATGGTGCAGAAGGGTCCTGGAAATGCTTCTTAAAACATGTTTTCCGCCGGGCTCGGTGGCTCAGCCTGTAATCCCGCGCCTTTGGGAGGCTGTGAGTGGATTGCCTGAGCCCGCAGGTTCAAGACCCCCCTGGGCAACTTGGCGAGACCTCATCTCTACAATAAAATAAAAAATGAGCCGGGCATGGTAGTGCGCGCCTGTAGTTCCAGTTACTTGGAAGGCTGAGGTGGAAGGACCGCCGGAGCCCAGCAGGTCGAGGCTGCAGTGGCCGAGAGCAGCCACTGCACTCCAGTCTGGGTGATAGAGTGAGACTCCAACTCAAAAAAAAAACAAAACAAAAAAACATGTTTTCCAGCCTGAGTAACCTCATTTCTACAAAAAAATAAAAAATTAGCAGGGCATGGTGGCACATGCTTGTAGTCCCAACTACTTGGGAGGCTGAGGTAGGAGGATGGTCTGAGTCCAGGAGGTCAAGGCTGCAGTGAGCTGTACAGCCTGGGTGACAGAGTAAGATCCTAATTTTTTTAAAAAAGTACTAAAAAGTGTTCACTCAATTCTTGCTACCCCTCATTCACTGCTGTTACTTATGGTGGCTGTCTCCTCAGACATCTCTGTTCCTCTCTCTGCCTCTCTCTACATTTACCTTTTACATTTAATTTTAAATAAAAATATTCATATGATTCAAAAAAAATTTTTTTTTTAGTTGGAGTCTCACTCTGTTGCCCAGACTGGAGTGAAGTGGCATGCTCCTGGCCACTGCAGCTTCACCCTGCTGGGCTCCGGCAATCCTTCTGCCTCTGCCTTCCAAGTAGCCGGAACTACAGGCGTGTGCTACCATGCCCGGCTAATTTTTTATTTACTGTAGAGACGAGAGCTTGCCAAGTTGCCCGCATGGGTCTCGAACCTGCGGACTCAGGCAATCCACTCGCCTTGGCCTCCCAAAGTGCTGGGATTACAGCCGGTTCAAAAATTTTAAAGCATAAAAGTATATCTGTGAAGTCTCCTCTCTGACATCTGCTCATCCACTCGTTCATTTTCTGCAATTTCACCCTTGCTTTTTTGAGAAACAGTGTACACATACCCTATATGTATGCATATATTTTTAGTGGCTCTACAGAAGTTCACTATGTGACTGTATCATAATTTACCTAGTCCCCATTGATGAGCAGTTAGCTTGAACCCATTTTTATTTCTAGAAACATTTCAATGAATATCTGTAATTATCCATCATATTGCATTTACGCAAGTATCTTCCTATGAGAAGTTTTAGTGATGGGATTTCTGGGACCAATGGCAGGCAAGCATTATGTTTTGATCCTGCAGGGTGAACTTCATGTAGACCCGAGATCTGGTTTTGCAGGACAACGGACCTGCTTGGAAGATTCTCTTCAATCCATCCATTCGTGTTGGCCATAAACACTCAAGCATGTGTGGGAATTATTTTGCAATAGTTACTTGCACCTGGTAAGCAGACAAATTTCAGCCTAGGACGAGGCCAGGGAAAATAAAAGGCCGTAGGAATGGGAGGCTGTCATCTTTTTGTCCCTGGAAGAAGCATCCCTTTGTGTAGAACGTATTGTGAAGTATCATGGGCAGGTGTGTTTCCCACTGGGAATTGGGGATGTGGGCGTATTCTGCTTTCTGGAACCATTGCTATAAATCATCACAATGACATTCCCTTTCACTTTTCTGTGGGAGTCTTTCTGTCACTCACGTCACCGTCCCATGATGAGGTCTTCACATTTACATACTGCCAAAATACCCTCTCTGGGGAAGGTTATACCCATTTACACGCCCACCAAACATCTGTGCACAAAAGTCCTGCTCTCATCATCTTGCCAACATTTGGGTCTGCCAATGGTATGTTTGTCAATCTGTGGTTAAAATAAAAAGAGATCTCATTTTGGGTTTTATTTGCATTTCATTACCTTTTAGGGATTATTAATTTTGGCATGAGTATTGGATTCCACATTTTTTCTTCTTTTTTTTTTTTGAATTGGAGTCTCACTTTGTCGCCCAGACTGGAGTACAATGGCCGCTCCCGGCCACTGCAGCCTCTACCTCCTGGGCTCCGGCGATCCTTCCACCTCAGCCTTCCAA